GATCGACGACCTGGCTCCATTCAGATTGCCCCTTGGTGGTTCATTGCCTGAACCGCAGGGGGGTTCAATGCAGTCCTTGGCACTATGGGACTGGACGCTTCAGGTGACACGTTTGCTGAGTTCTCAGGGTTTGGCTCTCCTAGCAGTTCATGTTTGGGGGGGTGTCCAACATCCTGGCGTATGGCCTGTCTTGGTTCATTCCCCTGTCCACGGAATGGACGGTCGTCACCGACTCGTTCAGTTGGCTCTGCCAGGTGTAAGGCTTCCGGAAGTGGACTTTTTTGCATCGGTCGGGGTCAAGGCATCTCCCGGTATATGTGGAGCCCTTCCCTGACTGTGAGGCCGTCGGGGTTGATGCCTTCAGGCAGGACTGGGTGAGGTGGGGTTACGTGTACCTCTTCCCCACCCCAGGGTTTAGCTGTTGCTCCAGGTCCTGGCTTGGTTTGAGCCCTACCAGGGAAGAGTTGTCCTTTTGTCTCCTTGGTGGCTGGCCTAGCCTTGGTTTCAGGCACTGCTTGCTTGGTATCCGAATCCGAGGGTCTTCCCGTGGCTCCGCCTCAGCAGATCGATCCAGCCTGTTACCTGGCTGATTCACTCTTCTCCTCGTGTCTTCGTATCTGGGCTTTCTGACTTAGGTCTATCATCACTTGTATGTATTCAGGTAGGTGGCTTCATTGATGGTGTCCCACCTGCGTGCTTCATCTCGGTGACAGTATGAAGCTTCATAGGGGTCCTTCCATTATTTCTTGTCTCTGTATAGGGTGTACTTCTGTCTCGGATAGGGTTGTCTTGTCCTTCCTTTCGTGGTTGTTACAGGGCCGTCATCTTACGCCAAATACTGTCGCCTCGCATCATGTGGCGCTGGCGGAGCCACTGCAGTTTGCGTTTGACGTTTGTTACTTCTGCTCCATTCCACAAACTATCTTGTTCATTGTTTCACCTCTGGCCTGCTCATGCACCTCCTGAGCCATCTTGGTCATTGACAGGGTGCTTCCTTTTCTCTCTTCTCTTTGGTTTGTGGTGGTCCCTTCGGTTCAGGATTGTTTTTCTAAAACTCTTTTTCCTTGTTGGCATTAGCCTCTGGGGGTCGGGTCGGGGTGCTTCATGCTTTCCTCCAGCACAGTGGTTTCTGCTCTTTTGGTCCTGGTGGTAAGTTTGTTTGCTTACAGCTGTCTCCTCCTTTTCTGGCGAAGAATGAGTCTGCAGGTTTCCGGAGAAGTCCTTGAGTTGTTGATGCTTGGTTGGTTTGGCCGGGGGTTCATCATGTGTTGTGTTCGGTTGTGGCTCTCCGCCGTTATTTGCACCACGGCTTCGGTGGCCAGAGACGTGATTTGAGTTGACCTGGTTTCCCTTCTTCCCTGTTCCAGGGCTCGGGTCTCTCAAGTCGTCTACAGGGTTATTTGGTCCAGCAAGCCTACAGTTTCTCCTCGTGCTCACGACATTCGTAAGTTTGCTGCATTGGCTGCCATCTTCAGTAACATGTCTTGGGCTGACATTCGGGCACGAGGTTTTTGGATGTCGAACAGGGTCCTGGCCGCTTGCTACCTTGGTAATGTTCCTGGGTTCAGTCGGGCCTGTATCGCATTGGGTCGGTGGTTGCAGCCAGTTGTCTCGACTTAGAGTTTAAGAGCGAGAACCGACTACCTCCTGGATAAGTCCCTATTGTTTGGTTTTGTCTTTGGGTAAGTAGCGCCAGGGAGCCGAAGGGACTCCCCCCAGAAAACTAGTGTTGAATGTAATGAAACGGCATTTTCAGGGTGAGACCCGGAGGCTCCCCAGCAACCCTCTCTCCCTCCGATCGGCTTTTTTTTTTTTCAAGTATTTTGACATCCAGCCTCAGAACTGGGGTGTGGTTAGCTGGTGCGAGGGTCTGGGGCTTCCCCTTCCCCCTCCTGGGGAGGGGGGGGGGTTTCTGCAGACAGCGGTGCAGCGATGTGGTGACGTCATGGTCGTTTGCTCGTTTTCATTTGGGGAGTTCTGTCCACAAGTTCGGCTTTCAGTAGCAATGTTAACCAGAATATGGGTGTGTTTTGGGGTGCTTACCTTTCTGGATGCCAGACCCAGTCGATGGCAGACATAGAATACTTCCAACCACATGGGGGTTTCTATAGGCCATTGCTCCTCATGCCTCTCTGAGGGGGGCCAGGTTCTGGCTCGTGGGCCCTTGTAGGCCTAGAACTCCATGCACATTGACTGATGCCAAAGTCTAATATATCCATATCAGTCTGGATAGCTCTGGGGAGCCTCCGGGTCTCACGCAAAAAATGGCGTTTCATTACATTCAACACTGGTTGATTTTAACTGTGTCGGCATACCCTCTAGGGTGATGTACTGACAAACTCCCGGGGCTACCTTCTCGAACCATTTGTCCTCTCCTTCTTTTTCTCTTCTGAATTCTGGTGAGCCCATTCATGTTGACTCCCACACTCGCACCCTTTCCTGTCTTGATCTTTCTCTGTTCGTCTTCTCTTTATTTGGACTTCACCTGGCGGGTTCTTGATGACCTACGTAAGTAACCATTTCCCCATCCTTGTCACCTTCTCTTTTCACCCTCTCTTGCTGAGGATGGTGGGTGAAACCTTGATGAAAGATAAGGCAGTTCTTCTTCATATTCGGAAACCTGGTTCTCTAGGATCATCTCCTAAAGACTTTCTCCCCATTGCTATAACGAGTTGTATGCAATCTCTTTGAGCATATGGTCAATGTCCGTCTGAGGTGGTTCTTGGAACGCTATCACCTCTTCTCCCCATCTCAATTTGGCTTTTACAAGTGTCGCAGCACGACTAATGTCTTGGTGAACTTGGAGGTCTATATTCGTACTGCCTTTGCTGCGAAGACCTCCGTGGTTGCTATCTTTCTTTTACCTGGAAAAGGTGTATGGCACTACCTGGAGATACCATATTTTGTCCCAACTCTGTTCTTTTGACCTTTGTGGTAATCTCCCTTTCTTCCTCCAGAGCTTTCTCCCTCGTTGTTCCTTTTGAGTGTGGCTTGGTACCGCTCTCTCTGCATCTTTTTGGCAATACAAAGGTGTACCCCAAGGTACTGTTCTGAGCACTACTATTTTTCCTGGTTGCCCTCAATGATCTTCTTTCCTCCCTGGCCTCTGGCATTTTCTCTGCTCTTTATGTTGACGATCTTACCCTGTGCTGTCTAGGTGATGACTCGCCTTTCCTCCAACAGCGGCTTCAACTTGTGATTAATACTCTGTCGCCCTGGACCACCGATCATGGCTCCAAGTTCTCTATAGCTAAGAATTGTGCCTTTACTCGGAAGCAGGTCGTTCTTCAACCCCACTCGCTTTATGGTAATTCGTTTGTCTTGGTCACCCCATATCTCTTCCGAGTTGAATGCTCTAAGGTCCATAACTTACTTAGGTCTAATCCCATACTTCCTGGGGAAGCAGATAGGCACACGCTTCACTCTTTACATTCCTCTCTCATACTATCTAAACTCGATTATGGTTGTCCTGCTTACTCGTCTGCTTCTCGTTTTACTCTTCGCTGTCTTGATGCTCTTCACCATACTGGGCTGCGCCTCGGCTCTGGTGCCTTTCGTTTCTCTCCTACCTAGAACCTGTATGTTGAAACTGGCATCCTGTCTCATCAAGATCGCCGTGATCACTACTGTCTTCACTACTTTGTGTGGTCCCTACAACACCCTCACTCTCGCTTATGTTGTGTGTGTTGACCATTAACCCTCCTGTGGGTCCTGTTCCCTTTCACCACCTTCCCCTCTTCTTGCAGTTGTCTCGCTTGCAATGTTCTCTCTGTTTATGTTACCAATGTTCCTCCTCGTGTCGCTCCTTCCTTGCCCCCATGGAGGGGTCCCTCTTCCTAAGTTTTGTAGAACCTTGACCTGTATGACTAAGGCTCTTACCCCTCCTACAGTTCTGAAACACTTTTTCCTTGCACACTTTTCTTCACACTCCCGCTCCATTTCCATCTTCACAGATGGGTCTAAGTCTGCTGGCGGTGTAGACTACTCCATTGTATTTCCTGACTACACCTATATGTGTCGCCTGCTTCTGGAGACTAGCATCTTCACCGCAGAACTTTATGCAATTTTGTATGCTCTTCGTCAACTGCTTTCTCACCGCAGTTCTTCCTTTGTTGTTGTAGTTGACTCTCGCAGTGCCCTCATGGCTCTGGAGTCCTTTAATCCTGTCCATCTTGTGGTCGTCGAAATTCAACATTGGCTGTTTCTTATCTCCAGCAGATTTAAGACAGTCGAGTTTTGCTAGGTTCCTAGCCATATTGGTATCTCTTTCAACGTGCATGCAGATGCTGCCGCGATGGATGCTATCCACACTTATCCCATTTCCCACAAAGGTGTTTCTTATTCCGACTACTACCCAGTTATTCATTCCTCAATCTGTGCCCATTTGCAGGATCGCTGGTCTTTTGTTACTGGTAACAAACTGCGTGCTCGTGCTCCTAATGGTAGCGTGTCCACATTGTCTTTCTCATACCACTGTAACCGGCGGTGGGAAACGGCTCTGACAAGGTTGCATATTGACCATACATGTTTAACTCATGGGCACTTAATGGAGCACCGCCCTGCTCCTTATTATCCAAACTGTATTGTTTCTCTTACAGTCGTACATAACCTTGTTGAATGTCCTGACTTCCAAGACATGCATGTGTCTTGCTGCTCGACTGTCCCTTGCAGTCACCTGTTCCTTGATTGAATCCTTGGTGAATCAGATACCTTTGATATCGTTCGCCTTATGCGCTTTTTGTTCTCGTATTGGCATCCTTAGTGATATTTAGCGCCTTTTGAATATCCTACACATTTGATGGTGCTACATAGCCTCCCTGGCTTAGTGCCTTCTTTTGATAATTACTTACTGGACCTATATGCAGTTTAGAAGGCACCATCCAGTGCCACAAAATATTTTTATGTTTGGCGATACTGGTCCACTTGTGTGTGTGTGTGTGTGTTTCCCTGACACGGGTCTCGTGGAGGCTCACAATGTATGCTTGTTTTATCCCATCCAGAGAGGACCATGTCACCTACCAGCCAACAGTATTGTTCAAGCGAACTAAGCATCACAAAGGGTCCATCTACTGCCTGGCCTGGAGTCCCCTGGGCGACTTGGTCGCTACCGGCTCCAATGACAAGACTGTTAAGCTCATGCGGTTCAACCCTGACTCCTGCAACATGGACGGTGTGTATAGTTGTGTTGGTCTCACTGGCTGCAGCATCCTCTTGGCCACACCATACATCTTGGAGGTGCAGTAGTTATACCTGGACAATATAATAGATACATTCATTAACCCATATTTTCCTGTATTTGAAAATAATTCTATACTGTTGTTTTTGACTAATGGCTGAAACATTTCCACCTGGCAGAGAGTGATGAAGATGAAAGAACTCACAGTAAGCTCGTACGACGTCTTTCCATTTTTATTCTATAAATCACAATACGGTTTTTTATATCTACTCCCAATAGCAGAGTTATAGTTGAGCATGTATAGCCACGCCACATGTTTCTGCTATACGCCTAGAGTCCTATATAATGAATGACATGAGCCTCTTAGACATTGATGTTAACATTCAGTGATTTTGTCACAGATGTGATCAATGTTTATTTAATTTTTATTTAAAATAGAATATTAAAATATCATTTCTTCCATTTTTTTATATCCTTTTTCTTTAGGTTATTTTTATTTAGGTTGAAGCATACCTGACAAAGTAATACAACATGTCTTGTCCATAATGAGTAGCAGAATGCTGTACTTCCTCAGTAGCGCCTTCAATATTAGCAAGTTTTCTTTTAAGATTAATCACCGTGAGAGTTGTCAGAGGTCTCCAGTGAGGAAAGCCTTCCCGTAGGACAGGTGGGAGTTTTAAATATCACAGGGCCACACACATTGCTTCCAGACAACTGGACCATTGTAGTGATTTAAGACCACCATACACTGGAGACAGTTCTCACAGCTGAGAGCAGTCAGTGTTCTCATCACACTAGTAATCTTGCGAGTAATATGGGCTGGCTGCCATCTTCTCTGACACTGACAGGCTTTACTTATACTCACTGAATATCAAGCGACCTAAGTTGTTGGTGCACACTGCTGCCTTCCTGTGTGGACGTCCGCTCTTACTTTCCCAGCTGCAGTGAATAAGCACAGTGTGACACCTTAATTTTGTTATTGTAGCCTCTTCTAGCTTTGTAATCCCACCATATACAGTGTAGCTCCTTGTCTGACTTTGTAGTCCCACTATACACAGTGTAGCTCCTTGCTATTGGGCTGTGGTGGATATGTGGGCCTGCGGGCCGTAGTATCAACTTAGTGTAACTTCTTACCTTGCTATTGTATTCTAAACACATAATGTTGCTCCTGATCTTGATATTATACTCAAACCACATACTGCACAGCTCCTTGTATTGGTATTGTAGTCTGAACTTATGTTGTAACTTCTTATATTGCTATTGTAATCTGAAATTAGTTTAACGTCTTATATGGAGAGGATTTCGGGAGTTCAACTCCCTTAGCCCGGCCTGATGCCATTCTCGACTTGTGAAATAACTTGGTCCAACAGGCTGTTGCTTGGAGTGGCCCGCAGGCCCACATATCCACTACAGCCTGGTTGGTCCAGCACTTCTTGCGAGAACTCGTCTAAGTGTCTCTTTAATACATCTTCAATACATTTTGGTTCTGGCAATATTTCTAATGCTTGCTGGTAGGATATTAAATAGCTGAGGACCTCTGATGTTCAGACAGTTTTCTCTGATTGTACCTATGGCACCCTACTCCTCACTGGTTCTATTCTGCATTTCCTTCTACTATATCTTTTTTTTTTTTTTATCTAAATAGGGTTTTGAAATGGTCAAAAGATTGGCAGATGCAGTTTAATGCTGATAAATATAAAGTTCTGAGGCTTTAATGATGATAGAGTTACAAGATATGAGCTAGATGGTGTTGAGATTGCGAAGTCGGATTGCAAAAGGGATCTTTGAGTTATGATTAGTAAGAATTTAAAACAAAAGGGTCAATGCATAAATGTTTGTAATAAGGCAAATAGGACACTGGGATTTATTAATCGAAGCATTAGTAACAAGACACCTGGTGTGGTTCTTCAGCTATATCTTGCTCTGGTTAGGCCCCATTTAGATTATGCAGTTCAGTTTTGGTCGCCGTACTATAGAATGGATATAAATTCACTTGAACGTGTCCAGCGTAAGATGACTAAGTTAGTTCCCCAAATTAGAAATCTTTCTTATGAAGAAAGATTAACAAAGCTGAAATTGCATTCACTGGAAAGGCGAAGAGTTAGGGGTGACATGATAGAGGTTTACAAGTGGATGAATGGACATAACATAGGAGATATTAATAGGGTATTGGGTAAAGGGTAATAGGGTAAATAATAATTTACTTAATAGGGTAAAGTATCGACACAAGACAGAACATGAAACAATGGGTATAAATTGGATAAGTTTAGATTTAGGAAAGACTTGGGTAAATACTGGTTCAGTAACAGGGTTGTTGATTTGTGGAACCAATTACCGCGTAACGTGGAGGAGATGGGGTCCCTCGATTGTTTCAAGCGTGGGTTGGACATGTATATGAGTGGGATTGGGTGGTTATAGATAGGAGCTGCCTTGTAAGGGTCAATAAGCCTTCTGCAGTTACCTTTATTCTTATGTTCTTATGTTTTGCTCCAGTATGTTGTTATTCTACTGTGCATATTTGGGACTTTGCCTTACAGTATCTTTCATGTATATATTATTTGATACCTTTCTCATCTCTTTTTTCCAAAGAGTACATTTTGAGAGCTTTGAGACGGTCCCAATAATTTAGATGTTTTAAACATTTCTATGTGCATGATCACTCTTTCCCAAGGGAGGGAGGTACTGGATGTCAAATACCTCTTCTTTCCTGGTAAACATTAGATCCAGTATTGCCAGAACATCCCCTTCCCTCATTCTTGTGGCCTGCTTGATGTGTTGATACATAAATGTCTCCAAGATGAGGTTTACAAATCTGCCTGTCCAAATGTCCTCTGTTCTTGCCTCGTAGGCCTCCCAGTCTATTGCCTTAAAGTTGAAGTCCCCCAGTACCAACAATCGGGATTTATCTTTGTCAGCTCTTACCATAATATCTCTCATGACCATTATGAAGCCCTCTTGTTTGTCATCCAGTTCTTCCTTTGTCCATGTGTTGCTTGCTGGTGGGCTGTAAGCATAAAAATTATCAGCTTATCATCTTGATTCCAGATCTGCAATGCCATTATGTCAATATCTCGAGGGTTTTCAATTATTAACACTCTTACCTTCAGGTGTTCTTTCACCAGCACAACCACTCCTCCCTTTCTAGTTTTCCTGTCACGTCTCCAAACTGAGTAGCTCCTTGAGAATACGACTTCATTTAAAATATTTTCTTCAAGTTCTGTCTTTGTTAATGCGACAATATCTGGGACTTTGAGCTTAATTATATCCTTTAACTCCAATATTTTCGATCTCCCTCCATCTTTGTTGGTATGTACTATTTTCAGGAACATGTTCCCCTTCCCTTTGTTCTTTACACCCTCTTCCTTTAATGATTTTGTTGCCCGGTCGTCGACCAGGCCTCCTGGTTGCTGGACTGATCAACCAGGCTGTTAGACGCGGCTGCTCGCAGCCTGACGTATGAGTCACAGCCTGGTTGATCAGGTATCCTTTGGAGGTGCTTATCCAGTTCTCTCTTGAACACTGTGAGGGGTTTGCCAGTTATGCCCCTTATGTGTAGTGGAAGCGTGTTGAACAGTCTCGGGCCTCTGATGTTGATAGAGTTCTCTCTCAGAGTACCTGTTGCACCTCTGCTTTTCAACGGGGGTATTCTGCACATCCTGCCATGTTTTCTGGTCTCATGTGGTGTTATTTCTGTGTGCAGGTTTGGGACCAGCCCCTCAATTATTTTCCACGAGTAAATTATTATGTATCTCTCCCGCCTGCGCTCAAGGGAGTACAGATTTAGGCTCTTTAGTCGGTCCCAGTAATTTAGATGTTTTACTGAGTGGATTCTAGCAGTAAAGGATCTCTGCATGCTCTCTAGGTCAGCAATTTCTCCAGCTTTGAAAGGGGCTGTCATTGTGCAGCAGTACTCCACTCTAGAGAGCACAAGCGTTTTGAAAAGTATCATCATCGGTATAGCATCTCTAGTGTGAAAAGTTCTTGTTATCCAACCTGTCATTTTTCTTGCAGTTGTGACGGCTACTTTATTGTGTTCTTTAAAGGTAAGGTCTTCCGACATGAGTACACCCAGATCCTTTACATTGTCTTTTCGTTCTATGTTATGATTTGCCTGAGTTTTGTATGTGGTTTCTGTTTTTATATTTTAAATTTTTCCGTAGCGCATGAGCTGGAACTTATCCTCGTTAAACACCATATTATTTTCTGTAGCCCATAGAAAGACCTGATCTACATCTGGTTGGAGGTTTGCCGTGTCCTCTATGTTGCCAACTCTCATGAAAATCCTAGTGTCATCTGCAAAGGATGATACAGTGCTATAGGTTGTGTTCTGGTCTATGTCCGATATGAGGATGAGAAAAAGTACTGGAGCAAGCACAGTACCCTGGGGGACTGAGCTCTTCACGGTTGATGGGCTGGATTTTATTTTGTTGGCTATTACACATTGGGTTCTGTTAGGAAATTGTAGATCCATCTGCCTATTTTCCCGGTAATTCCTTTTGAACGCATTTTATGTGCAATAATACCATGGTCATATTTATCAAAAGCTTTTGCGAAATTGTGTAAATTACATCAGCGTTTTGTTTGTCTTCCATAGCATCTAATGCCATATCATAGTGGTCCAGCAACTGCGACAGGCAAGAGCGCCCTGTTCTGAAACCATGTTGTCCGGGGTTATGGAGATGCTGTGATTCCATGTATTTTGTGATCTTACTTCTTAGCACTCTCTCAAAAATTTTTATGATGTGCAATGTTAGTGCTATCGGTCTGTAATTTTTTGCCTCTGCCTTATTTCCTCCTTTATGGAGTGGTGCTATCTGCTGTTTTTAGTATGTCAGGGATAACGCCAGTATCTAGGCTTTGTCTCCACAGAATGTGAAGGGCCTGCGATAGTGTTTTTTTTACAGTTCTTGATGAATATGGAGTTCCAAGAATCCGGGCCTGGTGCAGAGTGCATAGGCATACTGTTTATGGCTTCTTCAAAATCTAGTGGGGAT